CCCCGAAGCGTGTAAGGCTCATAGCAGGCAAGTGGGAAAGATTTTTTTTTTTTTTTCTTCCCCCCCCCTCCTTAAAGCGAGTAATAGCGTGAAACAACGCTAGCTGGAGGCGTTTCTTTTCTCCAGGGAACGAGAGAAGCAGTGAATGAGTCTAGTTCCCCCCCCGCTTCGGGAACGGCACTTAGAGGGAGAGCAGGTATGGACTGCTTTTATCTGGACCACTGAGAGCTGGCAAAACAAGAGGCTCATTCCGCCTGCCGGGACAGACGCAGCAGCCTCTTCTGTTCATACCGAGCTCGCGTGCCTTTGCCCGTTTCCCCTCCCTGCTCCTGCCAGCCCGCACACCGCCCTGCCTTCCCTGCCCGGCTTCAGCCCCTCCAGCGATATGGCTGATTGAGGGAGGGGAGGCGGCGGCTGGGGTTTCATTCGACGCCCACCAGGGGCTGAGCGAGCCTCCTTCAGTGCGCAAACTCGGGGCACCAGATAAAAGCTGGGCTGGCAGCTCCTACCCTGCCTCGATGGAGCCGCCACAATCGGGTGACTGGAGAAGCAGTTAGCAGCAGCGCCATAGACTAGCCTCCCCCCACACCTTGGGCAGAGAGAGTTTGGGGCTCTAAACAGCTACTGCTGCGGCAGGAGGGAGCCGAGGTGAAGGGATCTGCTAGCTGGTTGGACGCAGAGGAGGCGGCTGTAATGGGGCATTGAGTCTGAGGGAGGAGGGGGGTGATTAAACGTCTTGTGATCATGGCGGAGTCTATGGGTATTTTTTCCTGTCTAACTCTTCTGTGCGTGTGTCTCTGTTTCTCTCTTTCTCTCTTTCCTTAGGGCGCTTGGCTGGGGCTGCTCGTTCGGGTTCTGCCTGTTGTTGCGCGAAATGGCGGCTGGCGTCTTGGTGGGTTTGGTTGTCGGTTTTTTTGTGCAGGTTTTTTTTTTTTTTCCCTCTCTTCCCCTCCTATTCCCCTCCCCCCACTTCTGCCTTGGCCGCGTCTCCGCAGCGAACCGCGGCGGAGACTGAGTCAGGAGGGGGGAGGGAGCTTGGCGAAAGCCAATAGCCAGGCTGGCTGGACTGCCCGGCGCGCTCTGATTGGCTGGTGCTGACATCATCCTGCAGCAGGGGCAGCCGCAGCTGGGCAGGGTTGGGGAGCTGCCGGGGGAGGCTGGTGCAAAGGGAGAAAACGGGCGCCATGATCCCAGCGCGAGGGAGGACTTCACGGGCAGGGCGTCCCTGAAGACCTCGTGAAAAGGAAAGCAGGAAGAGGCCGTGGCTTCCCCTTCCCAAATAACGCTGGGGCTGTGAGGAGAGGAGCGGGGAAAGAGCGACAGAGGAGCAACGTGCGCCTGCATTTGTAACTGCGTCAGTACAAGATGGCGCAGGGTCTCCCTGGAGAGGGAAGGGAGTTGCACGTCCGCCGGAGGTCATGTGACCGCGTTGCATTCTTGCGGGGTTTGGCTGCAGACCAAGCTGGCTGAGGCGGCGGCGGCTGCTGCCGCCCGGGAGAGTCCGTGCTTCCCTTCCCCTCCCCCTTTCTGCACAATACGGTCGTTGCCGCGTTGATTCCCTCTTCCCTTCCCCCATTAACCTTATGCACGAGGGTGTAGCTGCTGCTGAGGAAGGTTCTCGCTTCTCTCCTCTTTCTCCACCCCTCTCCAGTGTGTAGCAAGCTGCTGGGGGGGGGGGGGGGACGTTCCTTTTCCCGCAAGGCTTTACCCACTGCGAGGGAAAGTTTCCTCTGGGCGCCTGCTCGCTGCGGCCGAGTGTGGAGGCAGGCGCTGCGCGGCTCCCGCACACGGCCTTTTCGGCTGCCGGTTTCACTAACGTAAATCCCACTTCAGTTTTCTCTCTCGGCTTCCCCCTTCTCGTGTATAAGAGCACTTATTTATATGCAAGTTGGGTTCCTCGCGCTATTTTCCTGAAAGATGCAGTTTAAGCGATGTTTAAAAGATCTCATTAAAACAGCTGAGGAAAATGTACGGACTGTATGTGGAGTTGTTCTTCTGAGTGGGGCGTTGTTGTATTTTAAGTGTTACTTTGCCGGGGGTGCACAGAGGGGGGGAAGAAACTAAGGAAAAAGCTGAAAGCTGTTAACGTTTTTTTCTATGTGAGCGGTATTTCTATATGAAAAATGGATCAGTATTCTTTTACTTGTGTGGTGTTGCCTCTCGTCTTGGGAGTTGAGCAGCTTTTTCTTAGGGTAATGTGGCAGGTATTACAAAGCTAGGCCACGGAGGGCCTGTCTCTTTAACGCAGGAGTTCAAGTATGTACTTAATGAAAAATAACTCTGGTATGCAAATATTTTGAAGACGTCCCTTGTACTACTTTTTCTGAGGTTCATAGGAAAATGAACTTGTCACACAAGTCTGGGTGGGTGGGAAGCTGGACGGATGTATTTTCTGAGTCTGCCTATGTCCTGATAGGGGGGAATGAGCAATGCAAACTCTTTAATCCTACTGGTATTTTTTTAAGGTATGCAACTTGTGTTACGGTTCGGGTTGTTCTTATTTTTGTTGCTGAGGCAATTCTGTGCCTGTTCCCATACCTTGTTCTTGTACGGTAGGGTGCAACTTTAGCCGTTGCAGGTAACCCAACAAACAAGTTAAAATTGCTGATGTTTTAAACTTGGTGGCTTGTTCTGTTAGAAGTTTTTCATGTGACTTTGTTCTTAGTAGATTCACAGACAGATGTGAAATTGTTTTTCAGTAATAATGTAATAGGAGGTAAAGCTTGAGGTTTTTGGTGAATGTATCGTGTGAGAACTACTGGAATGAAAGTTACTGGGTATATGACTAATACAGAGGACTCCTGTATAATAGATGCTACTTAATAGATGTTACATAAGTAATATGGTGAGGTGGAGTCTAGTTACATAAGAGCTGACTGGAGACTTGAGAGCTACTCCAAGTAGTCCTTATTAGTTGTAGATACAGCCTACGAGGGGGGTGGGGGGGGGGGGGGGGGGTTAGAGAAACAGGATTGGAAGCACCTGATAGTACTACGTTTTTGCTTTGTAGGTTATGTAAAGGATATCAGGAGAGAAAAGGAGGCAGTAGTTAAGCATAGCACAGTGTGAAGCTTTTGCAAGTTTGGAGTCTCATTTAAGCTTAACTTCTTTGGGTGTATGTTATGCTTTGAAAAAGTAAAACCCTTTGAGTGTCAGATGATGGCTGTCAGCTGAGCATTTGCATCAACCAATTTTGTTCTGTGCAGGCTACTCTGAAGAGCTGGATTCTTGAGCCGTAGAGGCTGTGTTGAACTTAATGCTAGTTGAGCTTTGCCTACTGAGAATGGTGTTATGGGGAGAGAATCAGTTTGACCAAACGCTTGAGTGACCCTGCTGAGCCTGCCTGTGTAGGCATAATATGACCCAAGGTAAATGCTCCCCTCATAATGAGAGGTTCCAGAGAAGCTTTCAGTGCATAGTGATCCTTTTAGTGTAGAACTGACTTGAGACCTGAAATGGTATGTTCAGTGAAGAACATGAAGGTGAATCGAAGATCAGGAAATACATTTCGCCTTCATTAGAGTTTATGCTTATATTCCCTAAATATGAAATAGGGAATGATTGCCTGCTTCATTGCAAGGGAGAGGTTTGAATGTTTGTGTTAGTGATTCCTATGGAATACTCGGAAATCAAAAGTTTGACTATGGCAGCTGCAGAGCTTTAATTACTAAAGCAACTTTTCTAGTGGATCATGTTGACACTAGATTTTGGTTTAGTAACCACTAAGTTAAAAACTGCTTTAAGTTTTCTATATAAGTGCTAGCTTATTAAAGCAGTAATTGAACTAATGAGTGTCTATGCTTCTATGAAGCTATAGAAATGAAGGCAAGTTGTAATAAGGCCGTAGTATTCTGGTGGTTTCGTGACTGCTTTATTAGCTATCCTTAGGGAAGCAGTATTAGCTTTCTTCAAGGAAGCAGTAGCTTTAGCAGTGTTGCAGCCTCAAAATAATCTGGCCTGTGATGCATTCTGAGCTACTCCTTTTAGCAGGAGGATGGTTTAAAAGCAGATGCCTGTACTTCTCTGAGACAGAAGCCTCAGTGGAGAGAATTTCCTCAGCAGCCAGTCTGATACAGGCTATGCCCTTATCTGGAGGGTGACTGGAAGGGAGGGAGCTGTAGGAGGCAGACCTGGTAAAAATCAGGCATATAGCTTGTGTTTATGGTAGCCTACCGGAGCAAGAAACAATTTCTGCTGAATCCTGAGTCCTTCTAATAAGGATGTTGCAATTAACTGAATGTTCTCCAACAATTAGACTTGTTCCAACTCACAATGGTAGCCTGTTTGTGCATGTAGATGTGGCCTGTCTTTCGTAGTCCTGCTATTTAAACAGTACTGTTTACCTTTAGCCTTACAGAAGGACTGACGAGTTCAAGGGTATACAGGGGAGAAAGGAGCGCAATACTAGCAGCGTAATAGATCTGCGCATGCATTAATGCCATAGCTGAAACAGTTGAAGTGGTGCTCGTGCTCAAAGATGATCCTGCCCCTTTTTCCAGCTGTTCATTCTTGCTTCTGCACCACCCCTTTTTGATGGTGCAAGTGTTCATGTGGGAGGTGGAATTGGATAACAGATCTGGCATAAAACCTAATTGTAAGGGATAGGTTGGTGGTGGGTTTTTTTTTTTCCTTTAATGGATATGTCCACTGCATGCCCTTGCAGATGTTCCTGTTTGAATAGGGGTAGGAAGAAGCAGCTGCAGGAGGAGTGGAGTTGTGTCAACTAAACTGTTAGTGGAATTAGGAGATTTGTGTCTTGGTTTTGTACAGTTGAAATAAGATTCCCTCAGAATGACAGGGGCAACTCCTAAAGGCTGGCCACTATAGCCAGACTCACTACAATCCTTGCTTAAGGACATGCTCTTTAAAGTCTTGAATTTTTTTTTTTTTTTGAGCATGTAAGATAGTGCTAGATTGACCTACAGTTCCAGATGGCAAGACATTTCTGTCAGCTGCCACTCACAGAAGTGGTTGCCTACGAAACTAACTAGACTCGAGTTGGGAAGGAATGGTGGGATTACAGTGAAGTTTTCACAGGATTTCAGACTTAGCTTATTTTGTTTGGGATGGGATAAAACTTTGAGTAGGCATGCTACTTCCAGAAATGGCCGGGAACCTGACAGCTACAGTGTTCAGTGAAGAACTGGATGAATTCTGATCTAATCTTGATCAAACTTGCGATCCCTGTGGATCACACTGGTCGGTAGCTCAATGAGTGTGCATTATTTGCATGTTGTAGAGCAGGTCCAGTGACTGTCAACAGATTGGTTTATTCACCTTAATGTGGGAAGATGGTGTTCAAGGCTTGAACTGCAGCAGGACAGAACAGGAACTTCCTTTGTGTGCAACTTCAGGGCTTGTGTTTGGTGGTGGTATGTTTGTGTAGAGTGGGTGTTTTGTTTGTTTGTGTGGGTTTTTTGGTTTAATTTTGGATCTGTAGACCTCTAGGACTCCCTTCTCTAGGAGGGGGATGCTTACGGGCTTGTAGCAAAATCCCTAAGGGTTTAACTCCTAACTAAAAGGATCAAGTTGCAAGGTGTTGTGTGGCCAGCTAATTTGGGATAAGTGAGAATTTGCACTGAGTCCAGCTCACTGATAAGCTTTGAATAGTGAAGTACAGTAGCGTAGCTCTTGTTCCCTTCTCGCATGGCCTTGTTCTTCAAAGTAGAGCATCTTTGACCAAATTCTAGTGTTTTAGAGCGCATTTCTTAGCTTTGTCTAGTTAATTACTTTTGTAGTAGGTGGGGGATTGCCCTGAGATGGTTATAAAATATCACTAACTGTGAATGTTGTAAATAACAGTTCTCTGAAGACCAAGAAAATAACCAGCAAATGAAGACTGGTTCTTCAGTCAATGTTGAGATCCAAGCAGTGAAAGTACAACAGTGGTAT